TGAATACAGCCTTGGCGAGCGGGCATAAGTGTCGTACAGTCAAGAAACGGTACAGGAAAAATGTAGAAACTGTAAAGCGCCTCATAATATAGTCGGTATGTAGAAGCGTCGTGGTCGCTGCAAGGAAAATACGACATAACCCCTAAAATCGAAGTCCATGGCGGAGTGAGACCGCGCTGTATATATGTATAACGAAAGCGTGAGACAGAGACGCCGGAGGGAGGAAGCGAGATAAAGCGTACAACAGCGAGAGAGCAGGAGAGTCGGTCGCGCGCTTGAAAGACAGAAAGAGAGCCACTCAGTATGTGATATCAATCCCGCGGCCTAAGCATCGCAGCGTCGTCGTACGTGTGTACGTTCTGTCTGACTCGGCGGATTTCGGCGATACACATACAGAACAGTTCGAAGAAAAAGCATTGTACATATCATAACTCTTCGTAGCCGCTACAAAAAACGAAAATAAAGAAAGATGTGGAGGCACGAGATTACACTTTTCTGCTCCCTCTTTCTGTTGGTCGTGCTTTTGCCGGCTTGCACTTTTGCAGGTACGTACCATGAGTTTTGTTTACGCTTATGTGACTTCTGTACAGAAGGTAGCAACTGGTGCCATCGTAAAACATTCTGCCCCAAACGACACTTCAAGAATTTTCTTTTTTACTTTCATCATCGTCTTCTTACCGGATAAACTCTGCTTTTGTTTCTTTCCTTCAACCACGATCCTTCGGAGTCTTGGGATTTTTTTTGTACCGCTAGCTTGAGGTCATTATTTTCCGCGCCTAGCATTAGGTATTCAAAGTTTGCTTGAATCATAAACTGGAAGTATTTGTTGCGCTGATTTATGATAGGTCAACAAGTTATACGGCGTTTTTTCTTTGTTGCACTATTTTTTTGTCTTTCTTGACGTTTATATCAACATGTGTATTTCTAGAACTTTACATGTCTTCTTGGACTTCTGAATAAGTTAGTATATATTGTGTGATAATACGTGTGTGTATTTTATCTACGCGTGTAATTACCTTCAGCGATACATATTAACAATCTGATAAAAGTCGAAGTGTCAAGGAAAAATAACTGCAAAGCACAATGAGCATGCCACTGCATTATGTGTGCTTTAACGGTTATAAGACGCTAATTTTTATTCGCATGCAAACTAGATGATTAATATCTCGGCGCTTTTTCATTTATGAATCTAAAATAACAGTCTGACGCAAACCGTTCGACCTACAAATACTGAAGACTACGAGCTTATTAATCAAACATTATGCGCAATGAAACGTTACAAAAATATGGTTTCTTTTTCATGTTCATTACTAATTAGCTTTTGAATTAGTCGTGCTACGATAACAGCACATATTGTTATAACTTTTCTGTTTTTCCTTCTTTAATTTTGCGAGCTATACGCGTTCAATAAAACGCACATATGCGAACGAAACAGAAAGAAAAAAGAAAAAAACGGAGAAAAATAAACTGATTTGCACGACGGCAACGATTTATCTAGGCGTTGGAAATTAATCTCTAAAACTATTATTCCGTGCCAAGGCAGCAGCAGCAGCAGAAGACACGATGAACATGTAGCGCGGTAAATGAGAAAAGTGGCGCGCGAGAGAATATATAATATAATCCTTTTCTTTTTTACTCCCGCATTAGTCGGAAATGCCGTGAATATCCGCCATGCACATTTCGTGTTCTTTTTTCCCCCCGACTCTGTGCTCAAATTTAATTGAGAATGTTTTTTCTATGCGCGTCTGTTTGCCACGGCTGTGCCGACTGCTACGCTAATTTACTCTCTGGTCAAATATTTTATTAGCCTTGATTTGCATCGATCGCTGGCATTAACATTCGCATCCGGACAAATATTTATCCGCGCCTTAGCCCTCCGCTACTGTTGCTGTCGGTTGGCGAGCAACTCTCGCTTGGTCGTGCTTTCGATTGCCACAAATTAAGCTCTGCACGTATAGCAAGCCCGCCGCCGATGCCTCCCCCCGCGTGTGTCGCCGCTCCGCGAAATTGCCTCCGCCACGGCAGCAGCAACGAACTCTGCTATGACCCCAAGTGACGACAATGGCCTACTTCCGGCTCGTCATACCGACGACTTTTATGGTTTTTCTTTTTCGCTCTACCGTTTTGTTGCTGCCGCTTGCTCTTCTTCGGCATGACCACAAGCGTGCAGTGGGCGACTCTTCCATAGACGACGGCGACTGAATGTGTCGACCGTCCACACTCGGTTGGGAAAACAATGGCCGACAATGCCATGCCTGCACCTTACCTTTGTCCATTGAAGAACGTAATTGTGGCCGTAGTTGTCTGTAGCTGTTTTTAGAGCCCCCCCCCCCCCCCCCGCCCACCGCTTACCCGCGTGCTCGTTGTCGATCGTCATCAACTTTATCGAACAGTCAGCGAGGTAAAGATACCCATGTTTTCACCGGGGAATCGATAAAATGTCAAGGCGTAAGCGCGTGATTAGATTAAATTTGCCTTTTCAGCTGTCCGTTTGTTTTCTTTACTTCCACGGAAGCCAATCCTTTTTTTGCAAATTTAATAAAAACGAATTCCCGTAGCGACGGCGATTGAAATAAAATGAGCACGCGAGGACTAAAAGCAGAGTGTAATAACGGAAAAAACCCATGTGAGTTGTTGCCTTCGGTCAGAGCGAGTTTGATCGTCTATCGATTTTCACGAGGAAGCCTTACAGGTTTGCAAACAGCCGAACGCTATTGTTCTAATTATGGTTTTCCAGCGGTCCTCGATGGCTGCGTTACGCTTGGATTGGATTTTAATTCACTTTCTTGATTGCACGAACGCGGAACGGAAAGTGCCTTAAAAATTCAATGAACTCGACTCGACTCTCTCTTTCTAGCTGAAAATGACTTCGTTATTTCCATTTGACAGTAGTTAAATTAAATTAACCAACATTCCTGAATTGGAAGTTTTTATGTGACCTTCCCTTATCAATTCTTGTTAAACTTCTCTATCTTTCAATTACAAGTTTATTTCATTTTCGTAATTTGCGTATGTCGAATGTCAACGCGATGTATCATCATTTCGATGGGTCCCCTAACGTGTGATTGGTCTCTTGGGTGGAAAAACTAGAAGCATCCCAAAAAACCACGTGCGGCCCAATAAAAAGTATTATCTATTGTCTTATGTTCCGCAGCAAGCATACGCACTTGCCAAGTACCGTCCATATTATGCTTTCAAACGGCGTTAATAATAATCCACTAAAACTCTATGAATTATTCATAATGTAGCGTATAAAGTCTTTAAATGACCTTTCCACATTGTACTTTCGCTTCGTTTATGTCGTGCGAAACGGCTAGTCACATAAAGAAGAGAAAAAATAATAAGACACAGCGCTTTAATCTTATTCATGACTGGCTTTTGGTAGACGGGGGAAGGGCATTATAATAACGCTGCAATTTATTGCAGAATGAAAATTTTCACTCGACAGAAAGCAAGAGATCTCTTTTTTTCCTTTTTTGAAAAAGAAGTCTCAACGTCAATTTCAATTGAAGCTGCTGTTGCACTGAAGTGTGAGTTACTCATCATAAGCGCAGTGGTAGATAGGTTTCGAGCGATTACGATATGACAATAGGTATGAATGTATCAAGCTATTATGATGTCATGTTCCATTGTGCTTTAAACTCCTTTACTTGTCTTCATTTCATTCACCCAAGAACGAGGCCGTGTTTCGTGATTGATCTTTGTATGAGCTTCTCCTTTCGTCGAAAGAGTTTCTATTCGCAATGCACCTGGGCAAAAAAGCCTGTCAGAATTACGCAAGTGCTTGGATATTTTCTTGCTGAAAATAACGAACCGGCGAGAAATTTTAGCCGTGAAAATTCTGATCCGAGCATAAAAAGGATAACGGTTATTTTTCGCAAAAGCATTGCCAAGAACAACGTCGATTTGACGAAATCATTTTCACGCGAATGACGACAAACGCCCAGGAAAAAAAAATGGAAAAAAAATTGACGTCTGATACTCTCTATTCGACTGTAAAGGCGCGTGTGACCGCGTTTCTCGCCAAGCTTTTTATCAAAACTTCATCTTGGGTATGGACTCTTGTGTGTGGTAACCTTATACGCCAATCCCTGGTCGAGCATATGGAATTTTTGCTGACAGAACTGGTATATAACTCATTGACTTCGATCTTCGCCTATGCTATTTATTACCGCGTAACACTTTCTTTTTGTTCGGGAAAGGCACTGCGAAGTTTAGAAGCACCCAAAAAAAATGCCTGCCTTAATCCATACAATTGACACTGATAAATGTTTGCCCATTACGTGCCAATTGAATGTGTGGCAATTAACGAATTAAGCGTGAAAGTAAATGGGCGTGAGATCTTTCTGCGCATTAGATAATCTAAGAGTTTTCTTAGAAGCCGAATGAACGGGTGCATTGTCTCTACCAGAATTTTCCGCTACGTTCAGATGTACAACGCAGATATATATACGCGCGTCGACGTGCTGCTACAGCGAGAATGCAAGGACGCGTAGGCTGGGTACGAAAAAAAGGATACGCGTGCGCGTGTGTGAATCTGTGTTTGTGTCGTGTGATTTTCTCTCTACGCCAAGAAATGTTACGATGGCTATCTTTAGCTTCGTCACCACGTGACAGCACGATTCTCTCTCTATACGATCAATTATATTACATTTTTAGTGTCTCTCCGGTTTGTTCGCGTGCGGGAAGACAGACGATTCGATCTTTGTTATTTCCATGTAACCACATCTACGACGACACTGATGACTATTTGAAGTGTCGGCTATTGTAAACAGATCTCTTTGCTCTTTTGGCATGCGCGTTTACAGATAAGCGTGACACAGCAAACAATGAACTAATGAAACGGCAAACGAAAAGTAATCCTTTCGTCAACTTTCGAGTATAACATATTTAACAAGTTGAATGAAATTAAAAATCAAACGAACTTATCTGTAGGTGAAGTTCGATTTTCATTATATATAGTCCTCGCTTGAGGACATTTAACTCATTGTAGTATCCTAAACCTTCGTGTCCACTAGTGGCAGCACACGTTTTTAGAGATTAGACTAGAATCGTCCTATCTATCATGTCCACCCGTAGCCCACTTCACTAATTTCAGAGTATACGAGTAGGCTACGGTTTAAATTTTAATTTTCTTGAATAAAAAAGTAAAGAATAATATTGGATAAATATCTCGTAGGAGAATAATGTACTTGATATTGTATATAATTAAAATCGAACTTCGCGTACAGATGAATTCGTTTAACTTTTAGTTATATTATGTCCTCGCTCTCATACGTTACAGCTATTGTCGTTTTTTAGGGAATTGATATATGAGTTTAATTGATTAGATAAGATTTCAAAATTTAAGATAAGATTACAAATTTTTAAGATAAAAATGCTTCATCAAAATCACAACCATTAGTAACTTCTTTCAACTCCTAAATATCTAGACCCTGTAAATACTTTAGGACAGTCGCAACATTTTAAATCACTGAGTATTTTGGATGTTACGGTCAAAGACTGGAAACATCTTTTACGAATCTAATCACATCTGGGTGATTTCCCACATTATCGTATGAAAGATGCAAAAGTGTATATCAGCACTAGTTAATAGTGCCATATAAAACTTCGTAGAGAAAATGTTTAGATAGAAATCTTAATGCAGATGTCGAGGAAATGTTCCTGTTGTTTTCGGCTTAGCTATACTGTTTTAGTATAGACTAATAACTTCTGATGGAAATCTCTCTCTCTCTCTCTCTCTCTCTCTCTCTCTCTCTCAATTTAATTTAGATGATTCGTTCTTGGATCAGTCATAGACCTACAAGAGGCGATAATAATAATTTTGTATCAGCTTTAAAAATTATTGAATTCCCCTGTTCTTAAAGACTCAAACATTGAAAACAAAATTCGATTTTTTCAGAGGAATGAGAATGAATTCTTGCACTTTTTTGCGTTTGATTTTTGTTAAAGATTCGAGGATCAAAGCAAAAGGAGAAAAAGTGTAAAAACAGTCTTAAGCTTAAAAAATCGTGAAATTATCAATGAAAAATTCTCCTTTTTCCGGCATCTAAGAAAGGAATCTTCTAAATATTTTATGAATAAAGGATGCAAAAATGTCGATCTTTGGAAGACCAAAGGTTTCAATAATTCCTTAGTAATAAGCTTCATTTAGTTCACATTTAATATCTAGGGTTCTGGAGATCCCGTCAAAGAATTATTATTAGATGCTATGTAAGAAGCCATCAGAATTATTTTACGATTCTTTGCCTATCATTATATTTCTCGATAATTCATATAATTCATTAGAATGATCAACCGTACCACCACTCATCTTATTTACATGAAAGGGGATCATTGTGTTGTTAACTCTTATCAGTATCTACCTATCTTTGAGCTCTAAAATAAGCATTTCTAAAGCTAATTTAATAGTTTATATATCCAAAAAATTGTTTTTTGGATGTATATGTCGTTGTTTTTTCTCTCTGTCTCTGATCAAAATCCAAAAATCTGATCATTGAAGTTGCTGCACGTTCTCCAGCCTCTAAATGATGCGCGGTAAAGAAAGTCGTTGTATATGACCCGACTAATAGAATAAACACTAGTTTGAATATTTTCTAACCATCACATTAACTCGTTTTTCTTTCTCTTTCTAACTTTTTGATATAAAACTAACTATACTTGGTGGCAAAGCAACATGCAATCAGTTTCCCGATCGAGACAACAAATTGTCTAATGAAATATTTCTAAAAGCATAACATTTTTTCTATCCTTTTAATAGATATCTTTGCATCTGGCAACTTGATTAAAAACGTCTCTAACTCTATAATTACTTCTAGAAATTTATAATTCATCTTTGGCTTAAAACTAGACTTTTGTAATTTATCAGAAAATGTAAATATTCCAGAAGTTATAAGGTCCCTCTAATATTTTTATTACATTTGTCTTTTGAGTTTTTGATACATAATATATCAACAAGATAAACAATTGAAGTCCAACCTTGTTTTCTTAGTATACTAATAATAATTCTCATAATTTTAGTAAATAACAAAAGAGCTATACACAGACCAAACAGCAAGCAAGTGAATTCGTATATTTTACCATTTAAGCAGACTTAGATATTTATTGCTTCTAAAATAAATTGAGATCAGGTAATAAGTGTTTTCTAAATCAATAGATCCTAAGTAATGATAGGGAAAAAGTAACTGAATTGTAACTCTTATGACTTCTAACTTAAAATGCTGGTTATAAATGAAGTTATCCAGCTTCTTGAGACTTAAAATAAATTGATGAGCCTTCAGGGATTCAGGTATCTTAACCATAGCTTTAGAATTTGACGATTTGCCAGTTAAGTCCTTGCCGTAGATAAACTCATCAGTTTTCGTGTCTCTAAAAATACATTTAGTTTATCGTGAAAATCCCGATTAAATATAAGCTATTTTTGTAACATTCTGCTTGTATAACATCTTGCATCCGCAAGTAACTGCGCGATACTAGTGAAGTCTAAACCTTCTTCAGAAGGCTTGTGCATTAAAGTAGTAGCATGGCCCGTTTATGTTCCACCGATGTTCCACCAGAATACATCCATCGTCCTTGCTGAAGGACCTTTTTAACAAGCCTGGCTCTATCTATAAGGAAAGAAAAGCAGTAGAATTGTCGCTCAACTAAACAGACCGTATTCAAACTTTATTGAGTATTTTTTGCAAATTTACTTAGTTTTACTTAATAACTAAGTTTATTCGTTTCGCCACGTGAGTGAACACTTTAATTTTCAACTAGATTCCTTCTACAACAGACGTAGGCGTCGAATCGAGAGAATATATACGTCCTTGTCTTACCCCTCGTATGTAAGCACAGACGAGATCAACAAGTCATTGACTGATCATGAAACGAGCTCCAACCGCACTTTCATCGCTATTATTTTTTTAGCTATGGCGTAGGACATACAATCTTTCATCAATTCTAATTCTGACTAGATTTCTTGAGAATGATGGGTCCCTCATCATCGTGTTTCTCATTATCAGAAGCTATAATTTTCTTCTGCAGTTCGAATAGGATTAGGCCATTTTCTGATTGCTGTCCGGTGAATTCTCGTCCGATTTAACGATTTTTTCTAATATTCTCCTTTTATTGTCAAAGCCTTAAGGTTTTGTCTCGTTCTTGTATTTTTCTTTGATTCTTTGCTGATTAAAAAAAAAAAGGATAGGCAACGCGACCTGCAGAGTGACCTATGCCTTGCGTACACGACAAAAAAAGCGAAGCGAGTGACGGGATACAGATGAACATAACAGATAGACCGATTCAAGTCGAATCTCTAAAGACGTGCGCTGTGATTAGTGAATAGGAAAAATACTATAATAAAATTAAATGTATGATAGCGCGGACATAATATAACTTTGGCATGCGACGTATACCTCGCCACGTTTTATTACGGATACAATGTTACCTTGATTCAACAACATTTATTAACACATTATCTATTTTAACATAGATATATGTTTTTTAGCGAATTCAAAAAAGATATTTAACGATTTCCTTTTCTATTTAAAATCTTTTCTGCAGTGTACGTTTGGTATTATACAAAGTTGAATTTGCGAAGAACTCTTTTCGCCTACAGCCTTTTATAAGATAATACGAGCTTCCGGAATGTAAAATTTGAAAAAAATCACGGGAATATAAAAGGCTCTCGTACGAAATTCAAATTGCTTGAATTTTTGAATTTTTACAACATACTCATGCCTCTGTTTATATGATTTTCATTCTAAGTAAGATCAGTGGTTTTACATTCGAAACTCGTAAGTTTTTCCTGTAGTCTGACTTTCGAATCTGGAAAAGTGCGGTATAATTCCATTTTGAAAACTCAGCGCATTACCAATACTGACTTCCTGTCCGTCGCAGCCGAGAGAGAGAGAGAGAGAGAGAGAGAGGGAGAGAGAGCTCGGTTTGTTTTAGTTTGCAATCTCCGATGCGCGATTCGTGCATAAAACCCGAGATTGCGCAGTGTTTTCGTGGTATTTCAATTATTCGAAAAACTCAAGTGTGAGAGAAATAGTTGTATCGCGCCGAGAGTTACAAAGTACAAGCGCGTGAAACAAAGTGCATGCGCGTCCGGTTTGCATATGTGTGTGTGTATATATATGTAATATATATGCGTGTATAATATGGAAACTTTGCTATCAGCGTTGCACGTTTAAGCCGTCGACTCGCGGGGAACATTATCGAAGAGGAAGCCGACGTATCTCGCGCGCGGTTTTGCTCTGACTCGCGACGGCAGCAAAGAGCTCACCATTGAATTTGGAGGCCCGCGCCGCAGACCGCAGCGTTGGATTTTCCAAAGGCGAGCTTCTGGGGGCACTAATTGAAAGAGGCTGTTTCTTTCAATCGCGAGCGAGTCCCGACTGGCTCTCTCTCGGTCTCGAATGAAAAGTGACCTCCTTTGCTTGGCTCGACTCATCGCGTCGCGCCGGCCATGCGCGCAGTGCGCGCGTACACATTCGGCTTGATAAATCGAGACTCGCAGTCGGGCCGTTTCTCGATTAACTGATTCAGCCAATCGCGCGAGCGCGCGAATTGCCTCCGCCGAGCTTTTATCTCTCTCTCTCTCTCTCTCTCTCTCTCTCTCTCTCTCTCTCTCTCTCTCTCTCTCTCTCTCTCTCTCTCTCTCTCTCTCTCTCTCTCTCTCTCTCTCTCTCCCGCGCGCGAGCTGTATGGCCGTAGTTACGAATAAATAATGCCCCTCTCTATCCTTTTTCCCTCTCGCGTTTAGCGCTTTCCTCTCAACCTTCTTTTTTTCTATCTCGCCGCTTCGGATCGTTTGATCGTTTAAGGGCTCTCGGCGTAAAGTTTTGCTTCTCACTCGCTGCGAGTGAGCCAGCCCAAGAGCGGCCGAGACATCGTGCCTCCAGCGAGGAGATTCGCGATAAGGCGCCTGCCATTTTCTCCGCGTATGCGACATTTATTTTTAGCTGTCAATTACATTATCGACAGCTGCGTTTACGCAAATGCCTCGCGAACAATGCACTTCCCTCAGGCTTTGTCTTCGGTAAATTTTAATCGACTTCTGAGAAACGCACTGTCTACAATATTCACTCGATAGCGCGTATTGAAATTGCATTTAACGCCGCTACGCGTGAAACTCGGATGAATCGAGCGATAATTATTGACTGTGACCTATTGGTGTGTTGGCAGGAAATGACAGCAAATACGGGCAAACATGCTCGATGGAATTTTTTGCAATAGAGAATTGCGGGACGAACGAGAGATGTAAGGTGGAGGAGCAGTCCGGAGGTAATATAACCAAGTGCATCTGCGTGCAGGGATACGAATACAAAAATCTGTCCTGCACAAAGATACCCACGACGACTGAGGCTCCACCTGTCAATACCGCCGCCCCGACGGCCGCATCGATTTCAAGCAGTTCTGAAGGAGGTAGACACCGCATTATTTAGCTCTCCCGCTAGCCTATACCTGCAACGTTTGCGCACAATCTTGAGAATCTTATTTTGCCAGTGCACGTTTTATTTTACATAAATGGAGTATTTATTACGTCATTGTTTCACGCCTAGTCTAGGTTTTTATTTAAAAATTGCCATTCGCGTAATAAGCGATCGACGTTGTTAATCTGAAAGCACAGATTAATGGAATTTTTATGAGATAATCCGGTTTTTCATCAAACGATTGTCAAACAAGCATTTCTCGTTCGACTAAAATCGGAATTTATCAAACTTTCATTCTGTCTAGACACGGCAATGGAAATTTCCCAATATAGCTTACATAAAGCCAATCGATGATTTCCAATTCACGAGGAGCATCCTTTAAATCGCGTAAAGGATACGTGTATCACGTGCGACCGACATTGATTATTTGGTATACTCTCCGTGACTGGAATCTGTTGATCTGTCGGTCATTTACTCTCTCGACGATAATTTTCTCGCAGCGCCATTTTCCGTCACGAAATGGCTAATCCGTTGGCTTTGAACTGTGTTTTGTTGCAGGCAGCTCGGTAACTGCGTTCCTGCTAGTACCAACCTGCCTGATAATAATCGGCGCGCTGGGCTACTTTGGCGCAAGGCGATACAAGTGGCTTCAACGATTACGGCATTTCCGACAGAATCGCTATGGCAACGTTTTAGTCACGAGAGACGACACTGACGACGATGATCCGCCGATTGCGTAGAATTTACAGGTGCATTACATCAAGAATATCCATTGATGCATCGAGTATGTTAGTGCAGATTTACTTGCCTCGGATTCGCGAGAGAGAGAGAGAGTGAGAGAAAGATTTCTGTTTGTTTCTTTTGCCAGAAAAAGACTCCAGAGAAAAGTGTGTGCATGTAGTGAGATTCGACCGATGTCACGTCGGCGTGCAAATATATATCATTCATAGTCAGATAAGATGTTTTTTGTATAGTGAAATGGCCAAATGCGAAAATGCGACTGTGGATTGAACGAACGTCAGTTTAAATTGTTTTTTTGATCTGATTGATATGATGTAATGAATTTTTTTAAAAAGACAATGGAATTAGTCGGAAAATTGTAAAAAAAACAGGGGCTATAGAAGAAATTGTCGTCTCAACAGTGCGACATTTGTTATATTTATGTACATTGAATAGCGCATTAGTGAATAATGAAGTGACTAGGAACTGCATTTAACGTATTTCTATGAAAAATTGCGATAACATAATTTTTTATATAAACTAACTGATAGACGGGTCAGTAAATTTCACGTAATACAGTTATTTAGATTAAAGGAAAAATATAGTAACTGAATCTTTAAATACTCTTTTATATGGTGCCCGAGATCACTGATAATTTATATAAATATTCAATTTTTCATAGGACGTAAGAAAGCACAGTTTCGATTCTACCTACAGGATACGAAACGTTTTAATGTGATTACCGATATAGTTGGTACAATAATAAGTCTTACCGAACAAAACTCTACATTGGTACCGTATCTGCATTTTATCTACATATCATTGATCAACTTGCTTATATAAAAATGCAGAATTCGAATATTTGATCGAATTTTTCATATCAACTTTCCTAACAGATTTTTAAAACTAATTTTGAATAATGTTTTTCGTTACAATTGTTCTTGATCGTCAAGACTTATCAAAAGCTAAATACATTAGCTGAAATAATAGCTTTTTATAAGCATTTTTATAAAGCAAAATAATGAAAAGTTCACTTTTAATATCAATTTTTTTTAACAGTTGCCGATTTTCAACTTTGAATGTATTGAACGACTTTTGTAAATAATTTATTTTTATAATTTCTTTACATTTTTGCCATACTAAATTCGTTGATTGTAAATTTGTAGACGAAACTATTGATACTAGTGCTTTGATGAAGTCTGAAGATTCTTTATATCAGCCTTCATGTGAGAAATACCACGGTGAAAAACTTTATACTCTTGTCTTTCTATATAAAAATATTAAGTAAACGAAGTTACTACGGTGACGCACGAAAATCCAGTATCTGTTTCATAAATAGCCACAATTTTATCTAACGAATTCTCTACATTGTCATCCATAAGTGATACTTATCTTTGTCATTTTGAAAAATTTACTTACTTGTAAAAAAACTTTTAACAGATATTACCAGGTAGTATATTGATTATAAGTAGTAACAATTTCTCGTTGTGCCTGATATTTTCTGTATCGTGGTGCCTATCAAATTTTAATGCTCAAAAATATATATTCTAAGATGTACACATTTTTAGCATTAGTTACCCTTGTATTGGTTTTCTTTGATATACAAATATTCATAGCAGACGTAATTTATTGAATAGCTGAAAATTTATTTTTTATTTTTTCAGCACTTTGTTACAATACAACTATAGTTTTTAATGCATTCTTCCCAATGGCCAAAGAAAGTAGATTGTCAGATATTAAAATATTTATATTTTATTAGCTTGAGTTAAATATTGATTTTCAGTTATGAAATCTGCGGACTTAACCAATTTTTATAATAATTTCTATTGTCACTTGTTTGTTATTCACCTTATAAAATGTTGTAGTTACATATCCGACTGGAATCACTGTTGATGCCTTTGATGATATTAAAATTTTTAACAATGTTTGCTCTATTTATTCAAATTTCTTAAGTATTGTATCATCGACAAGGCTAGAAGAAAAATACGTCTGTTTAGATAATTTTTGGTTTGTAGTTTAAAAATACTTGTAAACATTATCTGGAATGTCAGCATGACCATATTTTATACATAATTTACCCTGTGATGTATAGTGTGTTTTCTTTTGATAATGGATATTAACAATTACTTCATCAAACTTGTAGGAAATAAATTGGTGCGATATCAGAATATAAATTTAATTCAGTTATTCAACACCTAGACTAAATTATATTTATACTTACTATGATAGATTTACTCTTCATCAAGTAATATTAGTAATATACATGATATGTCAGTACAGAAATAGAATTTTTTATTTTAACTTATAATTTCCTCTAAATAAATATAAAAAATCTTTTCATATTATGTTCAAAAGAATCTGTTGGTTCGTGACTTGTTAATTTTTTATACTGAAATGCCTTTGCAAGCCTTTCTAAATATTTGGTCGAATATTGATTGATAATAATGTACATTTCAGTGAAATATACAGAATACAAAAATATATTCTGTTTGCGTTAATATTTATTTAGTTGTTGAACTTACCTTACCTAAAATATACTTCAAGTTATAAGGACATTACAAGCCAAAAACTATATTTATCGCAACCTGTGCTTAAATCGATTTAAATACTAGCGCCCTTCTCTGACCCAAGTGATTCTGTAGGGTCCCTAAAATATAGCATTCAACAGACAACGGCACCTGGTGACTAAATCACGGTTCACCTGTTGGAGCGCAGGTTGTAGGCGTATACTGTATAGTCTTGCAGAGTTCAGGCTGTAACGGCCAATCAACCGAGATTTGCAAAAAAAATTGTTTTGACAGTTTGGAAAGCGCCGATTATGAATAATCAATAACTATTTTAATTTGTACCACACATTGTAGTGATATTCACAGTGGGCATAATTTGTTAGAAGCACAAGAAATTACAAGATGAAATCTCTGAAGTTGAAATTCAAACCAAATCAAGGCCTTGCGTCCATACAGTCGCCGGTCATTCGGTCTAGCTGGTTCAGAGGTTAGTTGACATTTTAACTTGTAAGACATTTTTAATTTATGAATGTATCAACCTGCTGTTTATAAACATTTCCATAAAACTTAATGTAATTTTAATCACTATACATGTGATAATTATAATACAAATCTTTAAATGTTAATAAAATAAATATTAAAAAAACCTTTAAGTAATAATAATTTTTAAATCTATGAACGCGTAAATTTTTTGTGCACAGCGTTCTAATAATTTTGTTTAATATATTTGTTGATATAAAGATTGCTGATTTAAAAACAGTTGATATAAATATTTTTTTTATATTGGATCAAAAGAAATGACTTACAAACTCAATTCTTTACTACATTGTATTATATTGACATACTTTACATAAACATCAAAACAGTATCTTAGTATACACTTAAATCTATTCAATGTCTTCAAATAATCATAAGATAGTTACAATTATATAACACTACAATAGCGCAACGCATTGAATCGGAAATTTTATAACAAAAAATGGCTTATTTCCCGCGATGAATTGAAAAAGAATTTTTATTTTGACTTCTGTCTTGAACGTTCTGTCGTATTTACAGAGATTTTCGAAAAATCAAAAGTTTATAATTTCTTTAAACTTAATTATCTTATTTTAAATTAAAATTATTAGTATACATAAATTAATAAAAAAAACGAATTATTTCGAGTATTGCACAAAGTCGCAAATAATTTTCGCATTTACAAAACATATTTATTTACTAATATGCATTTGAATTGCAAATTCATTTTATTAACCACAAATCAAATATATCTTCGTCATGCGAGAATATGAAATATGCGTAAGAATCATTTGATTTCCATGTACATATTTTATATTATCGCAATAGATCATTTTTGATATACGTATTATAAACTTCATAAAGAATAATATAAACATAATTTTTAGTGTTTATTTAAGGATTGAAAATTTTTTTGAGAAAATTCTAAGAAGTAATTGATTCTGCACCATAAAACATTGATACAAACCACTCGATACGCGAGTTATTTCCATTGAGTATATTATCAGATTATAATATCACGAATTGACAGTACATTACTAACATAATCAAATGATTCTTAATTGGTTATAAGCAATCTGTACTGCATAATTTCTATGAAGTCAAAGTAAAAAGTTTGTATTGAAAAGATGAACTTTGATAAAAACTAAATATTCAACATCATATCATTCCATCAACGTACTAATGATACTTCTTCTATTTATCTTATCGTTACTTAATATGTATAAAAATACATGTACTTTTACTCTTAAAGTATGTTATTAAGAGTTAAAAAAAAAAAGAAAAAAGAAAACAATATCATAACGCATTGAATTTTGTTAGATGTAAAATCATACACGCCTTCGAGGTCGTGTGCACAATGGATCATACAATGATTTGTTATTTAAAAATATACTCGAATCGGTCAAGTTCAGCATCTCCAGACTATAAAAGTCTTGATATTAATATTAAATTTACCAATTTCTCATATAAAAAAGTAAACGCTCGTGGAGCATACAGTTACGAAAAAAAAAATTAATCTCATAAGTTTCACAGCTTCGGTATGACAACCCTTCAAAATCCAGAATAATCATTCCAGTGTCCTCTCTGCTGTCTGTACTGATTTCCACCAATCTGAATAGTTTCCGGGGTACGGAAGTAAACTGTTTTGCCCCGATCGGAGCTCCGGGCGATAGATGATGACGGTGCGAATTGCGAGCTTGGTACAAAAGTCGACTGTTGTTGTTTCTGTTGTTCGTGTTGTTGCTGGTTCAATGGTCTAGAGAATTTGTAAGTGTTTTCCGATGGTTGTAGAATGGTATCTCTTCCCAACTCTCGGTGCAAAGGTAGAACAAATCCGCTTGGCAAGCTTGGTTCTTGACTCAGATTTGGAGTCAGAGCCTCGTTCAGTGTAACGTCGTATTCGCTTTCGGGAATGTCTTGAAGATTTCGTTGAGTAACCTCGTTGATCTTTTGCTTGATCTTGAAATTACTGTTTATCGACAGTTGGTCTTGTTGCTCGTCAGATTTATAATGTGAGCCGTAGACATTTCGATTGTCGTTCTGCAGTTGGTGGCGCACAATACCCTGATGTTGTTCATCTTGGTTGTCGTTTTGTTGTGGCATCATGAAATCCGTTGTCCAACTTGCCACAGGCTTCTGCGAAATCGGCACATCTTGTATCTCCGGTCGTCTCTTGAGGATCTCCGATTCGGGTCTGCGCAATTCAGGCCTGGTCGCCGGTGCGTCATAATTCTCATTGATTTGAGCTTGTTTGGGAACATATTCCGGCTGTTGAGTATTGTAACTATTGCTCGTTTTATAGCTGTTATAATTGTGCTTGTTGTCGTAGTTGTAACTATTTTTGTTATGGTAGTTCTCCTTCGACTCATCGTCTTCATTCGAGTACGGTGGAGTCGTGGTGGTCTGCAGTTTGATGTAGTGCTTTATTGGACTCTCGTCTCGTCTTGGAGAAGTGATTGCTTTGGAACCAACTGGTGACAGACCTCTTGGATTAGGATTGCCACCTCTGGATGGCAAGAATGGCCTCTTAACCACGCGAACGGTCGGCCTTGGCGGTGGTACAGGAGTTATCGCAGGTTCTTCTGCGTCATCGTAGTACTCCGATGGATAATCCTCGATGGTTTCTTCTCTTTCGCGCTCGGCCCTTTGCGTTGGTTTCCAATACTTGGCCGGCAGCTCCTTTTCCGTGGTCGTCTCCTGCGGCCTGGGGTACTTCTGCTGCGGTGCCTCCATCTTCTGGAAAATGAACTTCTGCTGTCTCTCTTCCGTTTGTGAATTCAAACTGTGTTTTTCCGGCTCTTCAGTTGATGTAGTCGTAGTTGTGGTCGTGGTAGTCGTCGGCGTGGTAGCAACGGGATTGAATTTTTCAGTAGTTGTGCGCTTGGGTGCAAGTTCGCTGACCTCTTGTAGCTCCTTCGATCTCAATGGTGCTCGAGGGCGCTCGCTTTCCCTGTCGTGGTAGACGGATGGCCTGTCGCGATCGCGATCCTTCAGCCGATCCAGAGATCGGTCGCGACTTCGTTCTCGCTCGTAGAATCGATCCCTCGATCGCTCCGGGTGCTTCCGTGGGCGCACTTCCTCCTCCTCGTCGCGATATCTAAGCCTGTAAATGTTACGTGCAATTTCTTTTAAAAATTGTTGACTATTAATTTTTGGATGATTGCGTAATGAGGTACAGTCATTCAAGCTTCGCTCTTGACTGGTGTTTTGGTCGTTTGATGACATTTTTCATCGGCTACTTTGCATAATTTAGTAGCTGAGTGAAATGAATACCTGATATAAGTATTGAGAACGAGCCTTTCCATTGCACTCAGCCCCTCAATAGTAAGTCTAATTTTATTATTATAAATGGTATCTTGTACAATAAAATAATGTAGCTAAAAAACTACAAAACGACATGTAGTAGTACAATTATTATTGTTGCATGAAATTCGTACAAGCAGCATTCAAGTTCAACATCTTGAACTCGTGTCAACGGGTTTTCACTGACAAAAACAACGTATTCAACAAGTAGATATACGCAAAAAAGTAAAAGTGTACACGAGAAACTTAATGGATTAGGCGGTGACTTTGATGAGTGTTGATGAGTGTTAGGAGAAAGAGAGAGAGAGAGAGAGAGAGGAAGATGCCGCTTGATGGAGATGTTTAAGGAGGATAACCGTGTGTACGTTACCTTACCTGTAGGGACGATCGCGATAACGCTTATCGGGAAAATCGCGCTCTCTCATCGGTCTGCCTCTCATCTGCCAGCGAGGCCTCTGTACCTCTTCCACCTCATCTTCGTAATAGTCATCGTCGTCTAAGATCTCGACGGGTCGTCGACGTGATTGCGTCTCCTCCAGGCTGTCGATCGATGGCCGCCTTCGCGGTTCTTCCAAACTGTCGATTTCCACTGCTGCTGGTCTTCTGCGTGGTTCGTCCAGATCGTCGATGAGTAGTGGCCTGCGGTGAGGCTCCTCGACTTCGTCCCCTGGCGGTCTTCTGCGAGGCTCTTCTGCAGTAGAAAACAATTGAACTCGAGTTAGGCGTCTCAGTTCTCTATCGTCACATAGGAAATAACATACCGGAGGCGAGGCTAAGTGCGCTACTCGTGGTGAATGCGTATTTTTCTTTCTCCGACAGAGGCACGGGACGACGTATTTTCGGTGGAGGTCTCGGTCGCGCGTACACCGAGGACGGTGGTGCGACTGGCTTCACCAAACCCTCGCCGCTGCCATTGCTGATTGGCTCGGCCTCTTTCTCCTCGTATTCATCCCTAAATCTTTACAATCTCAGATTATCCTGTTGCTCGGAAGAGCTTCATTTATCAAACATTTCGCTTCTTTTCATTCGCGTAATTTGACATAAAAGATAATTATTTGATGTACTTCAGTAATATATAACTATGAATAATGTACCTCTTATCCGAATATCGCCTGTCATCTCCATCCCTGACGCGTTCCTCCATATCTCTAGTCCTCGACGAGTCCTGATCCTTCACTCTCGCTCTCGGCGGCTCATCGTCGATTGGATCCCGAGCTCTCGCTGGATCTCTCCTATTACCTCTCGGCGAAAATCTCTCTCTGTCTCTGTCTCGAAAATCACGATGCCTGTAATCGCGATCTCTTTCACGGTCCCTCCTGTACTTCCTGTCGTCGTAGTCATCGTAGTCTCGACGATTATATCCTCTCGGTCGAGTCCTCTCGTAATCATCCTCATAGTAATCCTCGTCGTAATAATCGTAGGCAGGCCTTCTTGGCGGCGGCCTCCTTCTTCGCGGCACGTCACGATCGCGCTCCCTTTCACGTCCGGCTACTGGTTTATCCACGCTCGCCTGCGTCGTGGTCGTCGTAGTTGTGGTTGTTGTCGACGACGTTGTCGTTGTCGCAGCCTTGTACAGAGCATCGTTTCTGTGCCAGTACTTCTTCGAATTCGCGCAGTCGACTTCCGATACGAAGTGGCAGATGAAGGTCTTCTGATCGAAGGCCGTGAAGTTCGCGCAGAGGAAGTCGTAACGCGTGCCGAAAAGGCAGTGATGGTAGACCTGAAAATCAATTGGCCGTCAATCGGGCGCGCGGACGAAGAGGAATCGGCTTGCCAGATGAGAAAGTTGCGGGCTACAAATCGAATACAGTCTGCGAAGATTCGACGGGGCGCTGTAACAACGGACGGAGGCGCGCGCGCGCGCACACTCTGGCGAGCGTTAAAGTGAAAATGCGCCGGGAATGCGACAGTGCAACTTCGCGAAAATGGCACAGGCACCGTAACGCTGAGGATTTGAAAAATCGCTGTACACAGCCGTACGGCCGTACTAAACTCCGCGCGCCTACGTAGGCTTACACCGCGTATCCGGAAGTATGCGCGTTCGAACCGGCGATAAAAATGCACGGCGCGTCTGCTCCGGCGACGACGACGACGACGACGACGACGACGGCGGCTACGGCGGCTACGGCGGCGATACTGCCGCAGCCAGCTCGCAAGAGCCTGTCGCCACTTAATATCCGTCTTGCACAAAAAGCCTTTGGCGCAACGCGTTTGCGTGCGTGCGACGCGCGACGGGACGCTGTGCAGGCGCACATTTTTAGTGTGCGCGGTGCGCGCTGCCCGGCGATCGTTTCGACACGCGCGAGTTTCGCCCGCCGGTGAAACGGTTAGCCATTCTGCACGGGCAATTTGTTGTAGGACGTAACTATCGTGTCGCCGCTCTTTAGAGCCGATGTGTATCTCTGCGGCAAACAGATTCGCGACACGGACCCTATTCAAGCATTCCCGCCGTATTTCAGAGAAATTCCGCTGTAAAGTATGCGCGATGTCTTGTTCGAGAGCTTTTTTCAACGTCGCGTTTTATGGATAGTCGACAGCTACTCGTTCGGCTCGTCACTTTTATTTATCGTGAGAAACTTTGCGAATCGAATGATAATGAATTTCTCGACGGATTTTCATTTGTAAAACGGATTAGTCGTTCGTTCGCATTATTACTGCATATATAAAATCAAAGATCTTGCGTTCGTTTTCCTGTATTCAACTCATAAATTTGAAGCAATTGGCACAATTAAAATTCAGCTTTATTATTCAAGCAGGTTATCGATTTGAAAGTCATAAGAAACGGTTCCACGCGAGTTTATTCAAACTATAAAGTTTGCCGAGGAGAAAGTACTTTTACAATGACTGATGTGTAATAATAACTATAATTATATGTTTTTGCGGCCAGGAGAAGCTTACGACTAAGCCAATTATAATGGAATAAATGTATTAATAAAAAAAAACAGTAGCTAAAAAATCAAAAGTAACTTTTCCAAGGTGCACCGAGCGTAAAAGTATTTGTATAACGCAAAAAAATACTCGCTACGAAGAGAAATATTTACAGGCACGGGCTTTCTTCCGTCAGTGGCAAATGACTTTTGCCGCCGATGCACAAGAAGCGCGATTGCGCAACGCGACGACAATACGAACCATCATTTTTCACTGCAGGACAATCATCGGCGCAAATCTTAATCGCACGTCCCCCAGGTGCGATGCGTAAGCAACGGATAATAACGGCGCGTTTGATCGGCGTGGGTCGGCGACAGCTTTCACAGCCGTGTCTCTACCCAAGAAAGCGCACGGGCGCGACGTAATTGCCGGCGGCGGCTGCATTGTAATATCGCGCGCGTACGTGCAATGATATCGCGGATTGCAGCGGCATCGTATTATCTCGGGAGATTCATCTAGAAGTCGAGAGAGCGGGCGCGTCGCGGCGACATGTTTAATGCGCGCGCGCGAGCTGCAGCTCCACGGGCGAGAGTGTCGGCGTGATTCGTGCGCCACACAGCCTTTCAGATTTGTCATACCTTCGTGGAGATCTCAGAGATTATTGTTCTCTCTCGCACTCCCGTGCTTGTCTGTCGCGCTTGATTGTTGTTCGATTTGTATCAATTTGTCAGACTCCTCGAGCGCTCTTAGCATGTCGCGGGGTGACGCGTCGCCGCGCGGCGTGCCTTAAAGCAGCGATTAAAGATGCTCGGCGCGTCGTCAAAAAGATTTTTTAGCGTCAACACCGCGGTGATAATTATCAGTCAGGATGATTTATGACCTTTACGCAATTAATTCATTAGATATCGGGAAAGCGTATTGCCTCGCGTTGGTACAAAACTGGACGTATTGTCCACTGCGACAATCAAGACTAAGAGTTACTCAATATCGACGCATAGATTGAATATTGCACGAATTAAGTGAATGTTTCCTGTCAATCAGTGCTTTCAAACAATTTTACACAAAAACGTTCATATAATTACAGTTTGCTTTCGGAATTTTTCATGTAATATCGATCTTTGCCAGCTAGCCGTTATTGTTATTATCCAAAGATAACGATATACCAGACGCGAACATTGGTATTTATAATTTGTATTCTGAGATTAAAGTTACGTAAGGTCTCCCGATATTTTTAGATAGTCAATCTCCGGCGATGTATTCGATAACCAACTATGTAATATCAAATCAGTCGTATATCAAAGATAACGAATTATAAGGAATTTAATTTACAGTTTCTAATATTTGCATGACAATGGTCAATAGGATCGCTTCACTGCTCATTTGACGAAGAGATGAATAGGACAGGTTTCGCTTAAATAAGACTTTTTCCGGAAGCCGTTTTCAACGAAACAAAATCGCTTTCACGATTCTTTTTTACTTGATGGATCACCCAACAAATACGATATTTTGACGTGCTCTAAATAGTTTCAAAATTTCGACACTTCGAAATTCATATTTTCGTTGTCTTACATGTACAGAAGAACATTTTTAAACGTGTATTCTCTTTTAGCGTGTCTTATTTAATTAGTAGCTTTCTTTCAACTTTTCATTAGGATAATTGATTTAATTTGATTACGTACGTAGATAAAAAAATTATGAAACCGAATATTACGGAAATAATTTAAACATTAAAAGACCATGGCATGGTTTCACTTGCGTTCTGTTAAGCGATGTACTGATACGAACTGCGTTATGTATAGTATCTATTTTTTTATGACACTTTTTCTTCAATAATGAAAACAAGACAAATACAACAATATGAAATTTTAGACTGTAATTTTTTGGCGTCCAATTGATTCTTATGTCCATTATCCAGTTGACTTCACTCGATCGTTTTTCTTTGGAGAGTCTCCAATTTCTGTCTTGGCGCCGATGACACGCGAAAAGGCGATCGCTGAAAGGGAAACTGTCCCGACTTTCGACGGTAAAAGTGAGCTGAATCGATTTGCTATTTAGGTGTTAACAATCTCGCCTCCAATACATTTTATACATCAGTGAATATTTGAACAATTTCCAGACTCTACTCTTTTTCTACAAAACCGCATTTTTTAATCTTACTTTCTTTTACGGACAATTCATCTCATTAAGATTTTGAATAAATTTTGTATCCATTTTAACGAAATAAAATGAGTGACGTATATTTTACAAGCATTGTAGATTCGATCAATTTCTAATCAATAAACAAGTCAGCAATTTATTAGCTGATGTAACATAGAATTTCTTTTTTTCTTAATAAAATCATGTAACTAGATATTTAGACATTTGCAATAACTGAGAAGATAAACATTTCACAATCTGCACTTCCGTAATATATGCAACTTTTCGGTTCAACGTCCGATCATTGCTTTTTACTCGGTGGATTGTAAATTAATTTACCACGAGCTACGACGCTTCATTAGGCGTGGCCAAATAAGGACGGACTTGCTCTTAATTAAAAGGAAATACAGTGCACTTGTCGGCATGAATGCCAATTCTTTTTGTTACACATGATCGAGCTCATGCAATCCCAGTGTATCATTGTAGCTACGATATACCATTTAACTCACTTATAGAGCTCGAAGAAACATAAGTTGCTTTAGATTATACAAATATTCATTTTATGCAGTTCAGACGAAAAAGATCTTTTGTACCTTTCAGACATTGATTTTCGATTCTTCAATTATTCAACCAGAAAATGAAGCTATCAAGGAGTTATTTTAATTAGCAGCATATACGTGATGGCTCAGATGTGGGTTCTATATCGCATGTGCTAGTAAAGTCGTGCCGCTCGGATAAAAGAACGGAAGTTGAATTATTTTTGGTGTCCCATTTTTAGATGTTTTTACGTTCACTAGTGTGGTCAAATTTATTACGGAGATATTTCAAAAGTAACCTGGACCATTGCTTATAAATATAAAGAAAATGTCGACACGAATAATTTCGTCAATGCCTTCGATGTTTGTGCAACTCATTTCTTCATACAAGTGTCACAGTCAACTTCGCCAATTGAATAGTAAACGAACGTTTTAAACGTAGTTGAAATTCAAAGTTTCTCATTTACCTGACACTTGTGCGGTACGCTCGCGTAAAATCCATCATGAAGACCGTCGCATTTGAAATCGATATCTTCTGGCATACTGGCGTAGAATGGATAATCACTCAAATTGTATCCATTCAGCTCTCTCGGCAAATTGGGATCCCATATGTAATCGATCTGAGGGATCCCCGTGAGCGTGTGTCCCGTCGTTCCATTTGTGTCGGCTGCTGTTGTCGTAGCCTGCAAAACGCGATTGAAATATCATTGCCCATCCGTAAGCGTCAAGCACTAGCATTTAAAGTAAATTTCTTTATTCAAAGTTTCGTATAGAGCTTGTTATAAGCTAATCATCTGTACTGAATTTTTGTCGTTGTTATCCTCGTTCAAAACTGAAAAAAAGCCCATAAACAAGTTGGTATTTAATGTTTGCGGAATTGAGTGGTAGAGCAAGCATAGTAAGTAAAGAAATATCAACAAGAAAATTGAACTATCTCGTGTCCATAATAGGCTAGGTATTCCCATAAAATAATCACATAACTAGAGTACATGAAAAGCTCGTAAACGTTACGTATTGGCTTCTTGCACATTTACGTTTCTTCGCCACGCCATGCAAACGACTTTACGCAACTCGTAGACCTGTATGGCATGCTAAAAAAATCTATCTATTGTGTGCAATCACTCAACTGATATATCAACTATTGTTGAGCGATACGTATTATACGTTCGACGATTGACAATGGAAAGCTTAATAGACTAAGAAATTTTCCTCTTATCAATGGCTCACAACGCTCAATTCGGAATTATCTATATATCGCGAGAAAAGAACGACGGCAAGAGAATAATGTCGTTCTCAAGTGTCTTACAAAGTTAATAACACTTGGGTAATTACATGACGTGAGGTATATATAAAAGTCGCGGTCAGTTTGTTATACAGAAAAATAATTCGTTCAGACAACCTTCGAGAAATTGCCCGATTTTACGGTATTCTCCCCTTCTAAAACGATAGAAAAAAAGCTCGTTGAGCAAGTCAGTTTACATAGTGTTTAGATCCGAAATAATCGTCGACAAAACTTGACGCACTATATCCATCTACGGCCACAGTGAAACGTTTTCCTTTTTGTTGTCGCGAGCGTCTCGCGAAGTTATTTTGCGACAGTGTGAGAACATAGATAAGAAGCCCCATTCAATAATGACTGTTCAAACCCAATTTTATATACATTAATTCATGTCGTTAGTAAATTTAATAAGACATCATCCCAAACTAATTACTCGACCTACGCCCCCAATGCTAATCTAATGTCTAATAAAAACATTGTGATTACGTAATAAAAAAAATGCAAATTTGCAATAATGAACAAACAATACGGCAAGGGCAACTCATTTAGTGAATGAAAGTAATAGGGGACCGTAAAATGTCGTCACGACGGACTTCATAATTACGTACAGTAAAAGTTCATGTTCCCACGACAGAATCAATCGACTATGCGAAGTTCCATTAACCGTTGAGCATATATTTATTCTACTCAAACCGTTGGAGAAATTACAGGCAGATATTGCAACGCACCTCAGTTGTGTATCTATGTCTCCGCGCGAGTTCAACGCATCGGCTGTATTATAATTATCACGCGAAGAAGGAAGGAAGAATTGCTCACCCGCGGCAATAGTTGCTGACGTAATCGATAGTTACGCGATTACCGTTAAGAGAAAAAAGAAAAAGAACGACCATTACTGTCGGCAAACCAAGCGTACAATTATCGTCTCGTCGCCGGATAAACGTCATTATTAGCAGATGCGCGCGTGCTAATGACTCGGCGCCGTGTAGGTAGAGTAGGTGGGTTTACTGATTGGCGTTGCGCTGCTGCATATTCAGCAGCTGTGGGAAATTCTCGCGTGGAGCCACCCACTCGCTCACTCTCGGCTCGCTCGAGCTGAGAATGTCAAGGTTTGTTTATAGTCTCATCCGTCTGCAGTCTGCGCGACGTGCTTGCACGCCGGCGTCGTGCAATTATATCAGTTCACTGTCTCTCGAAGTGATTGTGCGTGTGTTGTTTCCGCGACTGCATATCGTTAAGCGACGCGACAAGCGAACGCTCGTGGACGCACCTCGACTTCGTCGTCAGAGCTTTCAGCTGCTGCCGGTTCCTCTGTTGTTGTCGTCGATGTCGTTGATGACGTTGCTATTTTGAACTTTGGTCTTGCGGCCTTGATGGCATCCGAGACGGCCACTGCCAGTAGGAGACCTACAATTAGAAATGTCTTTTTTCAGTGTACATCCATCTTCGGGAGTGATTGCTAAACGAGCTCTGTTGTTGATCGACTACCATTGGTCTTATGCTAATCGCTCTGAATGTTAAATAGCAATAAGAACATAATGATTTACAACTTGTGGCTAAAATAGATTATGCATTTCGCAAACATATTCTATTTTACTCGTACACCTCGTGAGCAAGGCTTCCTCGCTAATTACATAGAATAATAACCGTTTTTAGTTAAGCAAAGTAGACATTCCATTACAGCAACAACGCCGGTAAATTAACCATCCATGCGCGGTCGTTAAAGATTAAAATAGCAAAATTGTACGATTGTGGCTTTAATCCACGAGTTGCGAAAAAGCACCGAGTGCTTGCAAGATGAGAAGAAGAGTCGGTACGTGTTACAAAATCAGAGCAATGAGAGAAGTGTCTTGGCAAGAAAACTTGATATGATGCAATTCTTTTCCCTCTGTTTTGTCATAAAGTCTTATAGAATGCATTCGACTTGGGCAATTACGGGAAACCCAAACAAGGCTAGCTTTCCGTGAACCGTATCCTATAGTTAATATGTCTAGTGTCGGTTTGCCGCTTTATGAAAATCGAGGATGAAGTGCGTTTTTCACATTCCACTGATACATTTTAGTCATACCCAGAATTGAATCAATTCCCATTTGTCAGTGCCGTTGAACGACGTTTTTATAACAAAGTTAATTTTATTCAAATATTAATGAGAATTACAGAAGTAAAAGCCCGACGGCCAAAACGATGTTTAAATGTTGAATGAATTGTAACGATTGTCAGATGATCACAAAACCACGCGATAAAAAAATTGTTTTATAAATTATTTTGTCTTACGCGTGTATTACTTACTTCGCGCGTACTTTAAGAAAAAGTACAATATTCAAGAAAGTAAATTTTCTCTTGAAGGAGGTTCCCGCAAACATTTTAAGTACTCCTGAAGAATCCTGTATATATATATATATATATATATATATATATATATATATATATATATATATATATATATATATAGCGATCTCGTGTGACGACTGCAACGAGTTCGCGAGAACAAGCAGGCGAATGAAGCAATAAAAGGTGACGATTCACACGTACTGTAGACGAAATCTCGCATATAAAATCGGTCGATCAATCTTCACGAGACAAGAGAGGGAGTGCAGCAGCTGCAGTAACACAACTCAATAGAGAGACAGTCTTGTAAGTTCGTTGGTGTCAACAGAGTTGTCGTGCGGCACAGATTCACCTGCTATACACCGCCGTTGCCACACCGAGAGCTTAGCGAGCTGCTACCGATAAAATCTGGCAAGCCGTTGCAGTCACAGAGGTCGCGCGTAACAGCCAAAAACGCCGCTATTACAAAATCGATGGCGGAAAGGCGCGCGCGTGACTTTCGGCGCCGCACGTGGGTGGCTTACCGTACTCGTACGTACGACGGCCTCGTTCGAGCCGGCCTGTGCGCGAAAAAAGGGCGCGCGCAGGCGAAAGGTGCGCTTTTAATGATAATACGACCAGCGCTTTGGCAGCTCGTATCGACGCCCCGTACAAAGTATGCACACGTGTACGTGTTCCAGACTTGTAATGACATAGCAAGAAGACGAAGAAAAAAATACATGGGTACAATAAACGCACGATCGTATTTCATGTCCTGTCTCATATATGCGCTGCGGCGTTTTTTTCATTTTCTTTCCTTTCTGCGAGATAGGTTTTTGGAACAATAGCCGGTGTCGACATTGGACTAGAGAGAAAACAATCCAACGCTTTGAAATTTCGTCAAGCGGTATTGTTTCAAATGTTAATTAAGGTTTTGGGCTAATTTTCGAGGCTATTTATTACGACGTTGCTGTATCGATCGAAGGCTGCTATTTAAACTTTGGCTATTTATCCGAAATCTGGTCTTATAATAGTACAGGTAAAGATTGTGTGGAGAAAAAAGTAATCGTGCGTGCGTCTTCCGAGGTGAAACAATGTAATAAACAGGATGATACACCAGCGGTTGAATTTCAAGAAAAAAAATTATAAGAGTTCGGCAAGCGTGCGGCAAATTACTCTTTCTTGACTTTCTCACGTACATTATAATCTCGATGTACGTAGTTGAATCTCGAGCGCGCGTTCACTAGCGCACGCGCAGCCAAATCATAAGCTTATGCGCGCGATACGAGTTACAACATCCAACTCCTCCAACTCGCGGCTGGAAGACAAAGAGAGCGAAAAACGTATGAAATTACAGCAAGATTGCAAAAGGGGCCACTAAGCAATCACAAATCACGCGAGACAGCACTGCTACGGGAGAGTGTTGCTGATCGATGCATAACGAGGCAGACTCGGTCACGGCTTTTTCCTTCAAAGCGCTGTAGTAGCTATAGATCGTCGTGATCGATTATATCGAAAGAGAGAACTCTTTTATACGTTGCGACGGGCGCTTCACTCGTTATTGTGCACTTGTGCCGTCGGACGGGTCGTTGATCTCTTTCGCTCCCGGGCGGCATTTGAATAAAATTCGATTGTATTCCAAAAGACGCCGAACGAGGCGATTGGCTGCTTTCGGATTGCTGTCACGCCGACGAAGGCCCTTTTATATCTTGCATAGCTGCCGTCGCACTGGGGCAGCGTCGGGTCGCCTCGTCGACGAGCTATTGGCATTCCATGCCGTGCATCGCAGACGAATCGGCACGCCTTACGGGACCTCCAATGATATTACTGTCCCGGCGAGCGAGTTATTGGCCGACGATATTGCCATTGTGTCACGCATACGTTTAATAACATGCTTGCTCCGCGATTTACGGTTATTTTATTGAGTGCAATTAATGGTAACAATGAATGAATAGCCGATACTGACAAATTCCAAGTAGTAGGTCGCTAGATATTTTCAACTCAACGTCAGTCGAATGAAGGAACCTACCGTACAGAGTAGGTAGAAGCCATCTCCTCTCCCGCATATTGGATCTCCTGTAAACAAAATAAAATAATAAGGAAAGGTCTTCAAATAAAGGTACTTGTATAAATATTTTACAACATTTACGAATTTTCATCGAAGCTTTGATGGTTAGAGAGATTCTTATTGCAACGCGTTATTCTTTCATCGAATCATTTTTCATTCAATAGCTGATTGATTTTTTCAAAGTTTACGCTTTTATATTATATGTTCATTCTAAGCTTTGTAATTTACTTTTGGATAAATTAAAAAATATGCAAGCTATTGCAAAAAATATGCTCACTATATAAACTTATAGCATTATATCAAAAAATCTGTATGATGTTCGTAAGAGTTTGTAAGTTCATTGCTGTTTTAAATTAAAACTTAAATTATAAATATTAAGTATTCAAACTAACGGTCTCGTTATTGTACATGTATTTTTGCATTTGCTCAATAATTTCATTGTAGTGACTTCATGCTCAATGATTGAAACGTTTGTTTATAAACATTGATTAGTTTTATAATACAAGTAATAAAAATGTGATAAAAAAGTAATTTTAAAGTACTACCATACATAGCAGTTATATTTGAAATCACTGAGTACATATTAAAAAAACAATTATAATATTGTGGAAAGAATTTTGAAATATTCTTGAGCAAATATTGGCATAGTTATCAAAATGAATCAAGCGATATAACACCGAAAAATTTGATTTGTTAGCTATGGCTGCTGAAAATGCTAGTGCTAAGATTGTTTTGTAATTAATGTAAAGTATTATTAATTTGCATTTTATAAACATTAATAGAATCCATGGTATATATATCCATATTATAGTTATTTTTTCATTCCATGAAGCATCGAACGTTTTGGTATTATTGATCGAGGCTGGCAGACCTGAGGACGAAATCATAGATAGTCCATTATTTCTGCCTTATTGACGTTAAATAAATTCAATAATTGGAAAAAATGAAATTATTATCTAAATGCCGTTTGGAAAAGTGAAATATTTTATAGCAATGTCAAAGATGACAGTAATGCAAAAACTTATATCACAGTTCTTCCGGGGCAATATTCTATTATTGTCACAATATCATATTGAACGATTGTTATCACAATTTTAAGAAGTTTGATAACTTTGAAGTGCATAGAAAAAGGAAATTGAATAGAAATATGAAACTGGAGGTCCACCTAATACTGCTCAAGTAACCTACCGCACACTAGTTTCTCGCATATTATTAAACAATCAGAATTCTGATTGTTGATTACATCAGGAAGATAATCGGCTATATTACTTACCGAACAACTATTAAAGATGGAATAAGAATGAGTAGCGACAGAAGAAAACGAAAAAGGATCTATTTTTAACTAAATATAGTCATAAACCATATGTCATTTACGAGCCGCGGATCCTGCTAAACGACTCAGTAACAATAGCGGGGAAGAATTTTTGCGAAACAACTTATACATTCTGATATTATTCCTGATTGCTTTAGTAATCGTAAAGGCCCATTGGCCGTAATTGGAGTTTGCGAGGCACGGGCTCACGACTATGAGAAATATGAGAAGCTGGCAAGGTTGACCTGACGTGGAACTCTTGATGACAGGTACATTACTAGTTTCAGATCTGGTTGCCAGCAAAATAATGAACTTTGATACTCGAACCGATTCAAAATATTTCAAGCCATTATTATATCAACATTCTTTTATGATTATACATACACTGCTCCGACATTATAAGAGTTGAAGAAAAATATTATTCAGTAGTCATCGGATATACGAAAATAATCCAAAAATTATTCTGAATTACTTTGATACTCCAGATGACATGGAAAGAATGATTTTATAAATCACGGAATCTCTTAAAGTCATTGAGACTAAAGCATTATATTGTGTTTGCGCTGTTAGAACTCTTGTTAATACTTTGTATCATTCCGCTGATATTAGTAAAATAAAAGCCGAAAAGAGCAATATTCAATAAAAAAACTACCAAAGCATTTAGTTCCAGGCAGCAAAAAATGTAAGCCAGATTTAGATGACTATTTGGAATGTACTGTTAAAACTTTTCCCTGTTCTTTGTAAATTCTTTCGGGCACATAAAAAATGGCAGTGGTAAACAATGTCACTGCTGTTATTAAACATTGAAGATTAATAATTTCTCAAGTTTCTCAAGTTATTTTCATATTCCAGGCCTCGGCTCAATGCAGCAATGCTCTAAAGCCATTTTAATAATAATTATGTTTGCAAACGATTTGTGTTAAAAGGCTTCCAATAGCAGATACTTCTGTGATGCTGGAAATTGTATCAAGTTCGAGCTACAGTGATCGGTGAAAAAATTACAAAAATGTTCAATAAAGATGTGAATCTGATTTAGCAATAGTGTCAATTTGCTTACGATTCAAATGATAATACTTAGCGAATTGCTTGCTATTTTGTAATTGAAATTACTTGAGCTCTTAATCTCTAAGTGATCTTTGAAAAAATGTAACAGTGCTTTGTTTTTCAATTACTCGTTTCCAAGATGACTGTAACGATGGGTAAGGCGAAAATATGCATTCCCGATAAAGAGCCCTGCCGACTAGGATATGCCGTCGCAATTAGAGCTCCTCCACGAGGCACACCCTGCAATTAGTATTGTTCTCCTATTCGAGGGCAAGATCGTGCATCGTTTTCAAAGAAATTGCTCCAATAATTTTCTAAGAAAAAAAAAGTTTCCTCCTACTCTATTATCTGTCCTGAATAATTCCTGAAAATGGGTACTTATCGATACGTAGTCAATTTGAAAGAAAGTTTACGAGCGAATTTTCTTGAAAGCAAAGAAAATTAAGACAAAAGAAAGTTGAGAAAAATGTCATTGACACCCGCGAGGTGTCAGAAAGAAATTTTCCATACTTATGAAACTTTGCGGAACGAATTGAAAACAGCTCCGTGAATATCCGTTATTAATAAAGCAGCACGTTCCAGAGGAAGAGTGGATTCCGCGTTTCGAATCGACAAACAGGATCAGAGCGAATCATCGTCTCTGTCGGACGATAAAACAGGTCGTTTGCAGTATATGAAATCCGAGTCTGGCGCCAGAAATGCGCGTTGCCTTGGGCTCGATAAAAACGAAAAGCCGATAAAAATTCCACGGGATCCCCAAATCTCGTACGAGCTCAGATGATTTTGAAAGTTGCAGAATTCGAGTTTGCGCACACACGCAAACACAAACACGCAGATTCACGATGCCGCGGAAACTACACTCGTCTCTGGCGAATCGCAACAGTCGATTGATTGGGTGGCCTATTTTCCCGCGAACGTACACTGGAATTACTGTGGTGAAACATGGAGAAAAAGAAATGAAGAAAGCCCGCGCACAGTTTCTCCTGCGAGCATACACCCTGTGTAGATCGCTGCACTCGCGTGCCACGTTACTGGAGCATGTCTCGATAGGCACTGCAAAAGAGGATCTAGAAGTAGTACTCGAGGTAGTAGGTCTGTGGACTTTCTCTGTGTGTGCTGTCACCACTTTGTTAACCATGCGATGCGAGGGTCATGTGCGGGCGTTATATAAAACGCCGATCACGTAATACCGGGCGCGACTTTGACGTATGCGCGCGCGCGTGCATCCATTATTCTCCATGCACACACGCGCAAATATCCCATCCGCCCGAGGCGCCCAATTCTCTCGCGCGCGTAAGCGCCTCGCGCGACGAATCGCCATTGGCGACGCCGAGTCGCGATTCTGAATTTCTGCCGTGGTGAATGATCGTGCAAGCAACGCGCGTGTCTAGCCGAGCAGACTGTGGCCGATTTTTCTTCGAATGGCGGTCCACGCAGCAGCCATCTGGTAAAACTTGTCGGGGATTTTGGTGGGATTGTGCGTTTCCTCGACGATTTTGCGAGGCTACAGTCGTTGCTCCGATTTCGATAACCATCCTTGCACGTGTATCAATGGGCACCGGCCGCGAAAATTATCCAGTTGAGTAGCTTTTCTTCGCGTTGACAAGGTTGATCAAAACAAACATGCCATTCGGACAATTCTTGACTACTTAGCTTGTGTCCGTCCATTCCACGAACCTTCGACCTCGATCGTTTTCGTTCGCTCCCTGAGGCGCGATATAATTACTTCCGTTCGTAATAGTCCCAACCCACCGAGTGATCCCCGCATCACGAATCTGGACTTTGGTTCTCCCCTTTTTCAAAGTGAAAGTATAATCTTGCAATTGAACTTTTCTATTCAATTTTGATAAGACGCCAACAACCCGTATGGTAATGAGAAGAGAAGCAATTCTTCTTTTCTTCGTTCCTATTGTCTTTCCAACGGCTCTGATTTACATTTTTTTCCAAAGTCAACTTTCTTCGGGTACGTAACGTACTATGCGCGTTCGCTTTTTTTCCGCATTGCTTGCGAACTGTGCTTCAATGCCGCGTTTATTCTAGTCTTCCTTTTTCTCACTTTCTGAGCTTACTGCAATTACTTTAATTGCATACTCGCGGAATAGCTTCATTTTTTTTGCAAGTAAACACCTGAATCAGCACACATTTTTCACATACTGTGTTATCAAGCCATTTGTATTTTAATGACACTTTTCTTACGCCTCGAGCGTAGCCAAAATTAGCATTACAATGAAAAATATTTTGAGCTATGAGAATAAGCGTAGCACTTATCGTGCTCTAATTCACATGAGATCTCGGCGTGCTGATATCATGTAAAAGCAGCATTAATACGCCAAACTTGCCTGCTATATGCCACGTGGCGCGGCGTGGCAGAGGGAAAGATCTCACGAATGTGTACCTCTCCACCCAGCTGAATTATTTCAAAATCGATTTAATTAGCACTTTGCAAACTCATCTGAGAACTGGTTCGGATTTCATCGTTTGCGATTGCGAATTTTCGACCAAAAATCGAGACGGACTTTTCTTCCCGGAAAGAAAAAATGAAATTCCTTGGGTGGTTAGTTTCTAAAAACAAAATAATTTGATTAACGTACACCTATCAAGCGGCAAACTGAGCTTATGTAACGGATAATTAATTTTTAATGATCCGTCCGC